TCCTGGCCTTACTACTAGGAGCAAAGACGCTACTAGGAGCAAAGGGCTTCGCTACAGAAAGCTACTAGGGGCATGTTGCAATCACACAGCAGCCAGTTACAAATTCAGCCCCCCCTAGAACTGCCTTCAGCTAAGCCCGTCTTTATAATGCAAACCCCAACTGAAAAAGGAAAGGACACCAGAATAAACACTGTTTGCCGAAAACATGCCCAGGGCCTCAGTGGATACAATACTGGACGCTTTTTGCCGAAAAGCCGACATCCGGGTTGCTTTGGAATACAGGCAAACAACTCAGGGTCCCCTATTGTTTTGTGTAGGAAGCTCAGGATCAGCGGGAGTCAATCTGCATTGGCTTGGACTGCGATCCCCCTTCCGAACAGTCAGAACTGAAAATGGCTCAACAGTATGCAAACTATCCATTGATAACCCCGGTTGGTGTGGGGTATCGTGGGGTTATTTACAAACAAGAGACATCCTAATTTCATTCAGCTAAATCATGCTCAATAATCCCAGAGCAGTTTAAACTTTGAAACACCAAATCATTTTAAACTGTTTATACGCCCTTTAGACACAGCAGTTGCTTCACGCAAGTTCTCCTGAAGCTGAAGGGTGAGGGTGACCAGACCCCTTCTAACTCCTAATATATATCTTTATTCACTTCCGGTTGACCTCCACATCCACATTTTGTCCAAAGATCTTCTGGCGTACAGCCCGACTCTTCGACACACAAGAGGCCCTGCTCGGCCTCAGGAGAGGCCAGTCGAAAGTAGGCAATGCCCTTGTGCAGCGCAAAGCCACCACACCGCTGACGGCAACACAGCTCCTTGACCCTCGGCCGCGGGGCTTTTGTGACGATGTGGGGGAATTGACCTGCAAGATGAGTCCAGATGAGAGGATTGGTTGGTTGAGAGATGATGTTGATGTGCGTTTAAATAGGGAAACCCCCAATCCCTTTTGTTCAATTCGTTGCCTGGGAGGTCTTCCTACTTTGATACCCATGTTGAGAGTTGGAGCGGATAGGCTGGATGTGTGGGAGGACTGGTCACTTCCAAGAGTCACTCGGAGAAAGAGCAGCCAAGGTACATCTCCACGAAGTTCTATCCGTCAAATGATGTACACTCCCTGAAATCATCATGGAATGACTATTTTCCTCAAACAGGTGTTTTTGTCCCCTTCCGTGATTATTTCAATGACTGCACGTCCAATGTCTTCCACTTGTCATAACATCGAGAGAAGCTTCCAATAATAACACCGCCAAATGTGGACGATTTGTGCAGTGAAAGTGAGAAAGTACATCAAGAACCTTTGTGGATGAATGTGCCGTACCCAAAGAGCACGGGAAAGACGCCGGCGTGCTTTGGTTTTCAGCAGCTGCATTTAAAACATAGCAGCGGCAAAGTCTTGCTGCTGCATGGCATTGCTTCCATGCAACGTGTGGAGCAGGTCAAGAGAGTGCAGCGATTGACATCTCTACAGGTCTGTGCTGTTCGCCACCACTGCTGTCAACATCTGCGAATCACATCTGCACACGTGGAGCGGCTGCTTGGAGCGTGTGCATTTGGAAAACCTCGTGGAACACCCCGAGCTTTCCTCTTGTGCACCGCCTGCTGTCGAACCAAGTCTGGTCCCAATTGCGATGCCGTCTGTACATTCAAACAGTATATTCTATACATCAGGCGCCTCTCAGCTCAACGATAGCACGGCCTGCATCCGTAGCCTCACCCATGTCGACAACATGTGTCGACAACATGTGCCACGTGTCACACTTGCATGTTTTTTGAAACGGGTTCAAATTCTTGGCTGGTCGGATGTCCAACAACCACGGCTTTGACACTTCCGCACTTGTATGTCGTACAAACTATACGTCCCAGATTTGCTTCAAACCAGCCGGTTGGGCGGAAGCAATAGTAGGTTGTCATGCCCAATTGACGGCCATACGCACAACCCGGTCCACAAGGGCCTCGGCGAGTGTTCACGAGCGTGTTTTTCGATCCCCGAACATGCAACATGCAAAGCAGCAATGAACAGTGTAGTTCAGCAGCGGATATGTTCTTGACCAGTACTTGCAGGGTTCGCTCATTTTGGACAAAAAAAGAAACAAGCAGTTCTGTTTGGTAGCAAAAAGAAACCCCCGCTTTAGTCTGACAGAGCTACGATGGGAAAGTTATGGCACACACGACATGTACAAGGTCAGACCTGACAATCCAGGCAGACCGTCACCAAACACCTGCCCAATCAACCGACAAAATGCCTGTGAGCAGTTGAGGCGCTGAGCAGTACTGCCCAGCATTTCATGGGTTGCTGACGGTGATTTGCTGTCAACGTGGTGTTTGGTTGGTGGTGGTCTCCCACTCACTGTACAGCCGTTCCAAACACAATGACCATCACTGACACAAACGTTATTTCTACGTAAGTCTTCCTTCGCTGTCCTCCGTCCAACAAGCACCATCTCAGAGTTTATGCGGAAGACGCAAGGATATTGTGATACTAAACCAATCAAGGGAAACACACACAGATAGACCAATTCAACTTGCAAGATATCTAAAATTATTCCAACAACATTTGTGGTGACTGACAAACGTCGACACATTAAGGAACGCACAAAACCGTACAACACGTTGATGATCTAAGTACATGTGTTAAAATTGGATCACGACACAAAAAAAGATCATGTTTGCTCGTGAAGCTGCTTGAGTTCCAATATTTCAGGGCAGCAGTCACAGGGGTTGTGCTCCAGGTTGGAGAACCCATGACAAGGAGCTCGGGTTTTCGCTGGAAGAACAAAGAATGTTGAACACGTCACAGTCATCCCGGGTCATCCCTGAACCAATATGTCCTTTTGCGAAATATAGAGGAGTTGGTTTGGTACCATATATATAAATTGGTTGTACACTTATTTCTCAACCAACCAATAGTAAATGGCCATCTATGCCCTGAACCTATGAAAAGCTATGAACAGCACCACTTCTTGGATAGTGCCATTTAAGAAACCTTCCTTCATGTGCATTCTCATCTGGGCAGCTCGCCAACAAAGGATGCCATCACACGCGACACAAGTCACTCCCTTGGAGAGATCACTCGATACTGCATCGTTATGCTCATCTTTCTATGGGCAATGGGTTGGCAAGGCACAGTAGAGGACGTTGCTTCCAAGCAGGCTCGCAGCATCCCAGGAACCCTCCTTGTCCATAGCTTTCAAGCTCTTCTCGGTCTTTTCCGGCTTTTCCTGTACAACAGCCCGTATCGCAGAAAAAGGAACAAGGATCTTTCCTTCCCATCTGTTCACAACATCATGGAGGTACCTATAGATCTTGCTTTGTATTTTTGCCCAAGAAACATCGCCCCGCCAGCTCGACTCCTCAAATGGTTGAACATATGAAGCAGGATGAAGTCCTGCAACATCATACCATCATCATACCGTATACCCTATAATAGGTGATCTCATGGTCCCGTATGGTCTCGTTCATCCCTTCACCACCTCACCTGACCGTACCGGAGCGCCTCAGTGGCTGGCATCACAGCGCTGGCCTCGGCCGCCTCGGCTTTCTCCTCGTCACATGGAGCACAAGCGCAGGATTGGTAAAGGTCGAAGACATACCAAGATCCAACTTGCTTGGCCTCGGACTTGGAAATGGCACGAAATAGAAAAAAACAAACATGATGACCAGAGGTGCTGGAGTTCATGACGAAAGCTTCCGTTGAACTTGTGTCTTGGAATTCTCAGCGTGACTCGGTTCGCACAAGAATGGCATCACAAAGAAGAGTCGAACATGACTTGGAGAGTAATATACCCTAAAAGAAAGCAAGTTGCGCAAGTGTGGCCACACTTGCAATACACGAAGTTGCTCCAGGTGGAATTCACCGCATTCACTGCCGCTGGCGGGTTCGCCGGACGGGCTTCCAGGAAATCAGCGCACACCGGCACCAAAAAGAGCAAGGACAAGGTGCGCACGGCCATGAGTGGCGAGTTTCGCGTGTGCCGGGCGCTTAGACTCTGTGGGATCTGCTGTTCTTTCGCTCAAACTAGGGCAAAACCCGGCCGGCGTGGACACATCCCATGTAAAGGGAGGTTGTGACACACTCTGAACACTGTTAGGGTCAAAGAACGTGGACACATGCTGCAACGTCAGGAGAAAGTTGAAGTGTGGGATGAATAAATTCAAACCGAACTGTTGCAACACTACGGTATCGTAAGCATAGTGATAGACTGTGGCAGATCAAACCCGATCCCGCCCTTGCGCCGTCAAAAACGTCCGTCTCGCGGCATCACGAGTTCCGGGCGCTTCGAGATCATCACATCGAACCGTCAAGGCATCCTGCGACGGACGCAATCACCGTGATCGCCTCCGTTCCCAATCCGTTTGGAGCAGTTGGTGCTTGGAAAAGGATTCCCTTCTGAAAATCTGACTGTGCATCGCGTGGTGTTACCCAACCAAATGGCTGTGAAAGAGAAGCTGTGGTCTTGCCAAGTGGCGATCTCCATCGCTTTTCCTCAAGAATTCTCTCACTCTGTCATCTCTCCCATGGATGTACCGACTCCGTTTGCAGTCAGTCACTTCAAAAAATCTTGGCTTCGTGGTTTTCCTGGATCTTCCAAGGGTGCCAAATTTCAGCCTTTTGATCAAACCAGCCGCAGCCGAAGGGCCGAACTTTTGCAGAGTTGGAAGATCCAGGTTGGTTCTCAACAAGCTCCAGCGATTCCCCGTCCTTGCCAGGATCTGAATCAATCCCGTCAAGCACCTGGTGCCATAGGGTGTTTTCTGATTCAGTGAGGTCGAATGCGCATTCTTCGGGAGGTCTATTCCTGCAGCCTTGCTTTGGTACATATTGTATATTTACACTGAAGCATCAACACGTTGCCGGATCTGTGATCTGCTGGTTTCTCTGCAAACCTGGTGATTGGGGTGGCTCTAAGAGAGACTAGGCAAGCCTTCCTGCGTAGAAAAAGTAATACAAATAATATGGACTTTCCCAATGGTGTCTAGGGTTTGAATGGATATGGTATGATATGGTATATCGGTACTTATCTGTACATCCTTGTATGTCCCAAGGATTGTGACGTTTTCAAATACCCTCCAACGCCTCCATTCTGGCCCTCCTGGGGCCGGTCGCTTCCCCGCCTCCCAAATGTATCGCGCTTCTGGCATCTCCTTGGACCACGGCTCCCCGGGCCAGGGCACTAAGGGGCCTCGGCTGGAGTTTGGAGTCTCCAAAGGCACGGCTTTAACATGCTTCTTGCTCCTAGTAGTAAGGCCAGGAGCCCCTAGTAGCGTCCTTGCTGATGCCAGGAACCCCTAGTAGTAGCTTCTTGTTACGTTAAGCTTCCCCAGAAATCAAGGCATCAAATCATTAGTGCGAGCGCTTCTTCAAGGAAGCTTCCTCCGCCGCCTTTAGGTCGGCGTGGGGAGCTTCCTTGAAGAAGCGTGAGCTATCCTGCATCCTAGAAGCTTACTTCTTAGCTACTAGATGCTACTAGCTACCTCCCCTAGCTAACCTACCTCTACTAGCGGCCTACCCCCCTTGTAAAAAGTCATTTGCTTTGACTTCAGAAGCCATCCTTCCCACACTTTGCCACCAAGAAGGCAATATGAGGATTCTAGCGATGCCCTTTAGGCTCTAATACACAGTTGTAGGTGTTATAGCTTTCGACCAGCACGATTTCAGGTTCAGAACCATCCCAACGCTTTGTCTTGATTGAAAGAAAACCACCAAACAACGTGACAACATTACAACTGGGGGACAGAATGCTCATGAGCTTGCCCATGGCAATATCACGAGTCAAAAGGGTGTACCATCCCCCATGGCCAAAACTCCCGCAACTACTAGTACAGGAGAAAGATCTTCCAAGACTTAAGTAGTTAGTTGCCATAAGTCAACTTGGTGGTCTTCCAACTGGTGCTTGATCGGGTCCTTCTTTGTCTCTGATTGATTTCTGAGACACAAAAGTTCAGCAAATTCATGGTCCCTCATTCAGTGGTGCCCATCATTGCAGAAATTCGGAAAGAATATGCCACCTCATCTTGCAGTAAAGAGCAGCTTTACAAAGTTTTACACTCTGTTCCTTGTCCAACTGGAGACAACGCCTGCTCAGCCCCCCATACCTCTGGTGTTTCGACTATCCCCCTGACCCCCGTGCCTGGCAAGGGCTGGCACCAAGGGAATGGCGCTCGCCAAAGTGGCTCGTCCACTTGACCGTAGCAGCTGGGTGTCGCAACTGCGGCGCGGCGCAACGAACGCAGCGAAGGCGAATGAGCCGCAGCGGTGGGTTCCCCCCCGCGCGTTCGGATTCAAAGGATGCCTGAAACGACTTAAGTTTTGCGGGTCTTGCCAGGGAGACATGGGTGGGTCAAGACTGGAACGGTGTGTTTAATGACAATAGATTAGGGTCCTTTCAGGTTCCAAACAGACCCCAGATTCTTCCTTTGGAGATTTTTATGGTCGGACGCTGGTCACACCTCTGAAACGCAAATGATCTTCACACCTTTGGGCGAGAACACCTTGCTATGATCTGCTGGTCTGGAATGAGTTTTTTTTCATGGCTCGGTACTATGGCTCCAGAACCAGGCCTATACCCGTCCGCATGTCGCAGAGAGTCCTTTGTTTGGGGCCCTTTGCTTGAGATCGATTTTGTCTATACAGCTGCAGGTTGGACTGCCTCAGCGCGCATCACATCGGATGTCTCTGGGACACTACATGGAGCAGTTCTGTCGGGGGCTGAGATCTTCCGGGCGAACCGTTCCCTTGGAGTCTGAAACTCCATCCAAACACGGAAGTCATGGGATGGCACTTGACAAGATTGGAAGAGGGGGAGGTGAGTCTGCGCTGCGGCGTCCCCTCACACGTGAAGAGTCAGGAGTCAGGAGAGTCTGATTCTCCAGAGCACAGCGTGTCAAAAGGGATCCGACAGCCAAAGAACACATACATATTACATATACGTTGCTTCGATTTATTTGTGAAAGAAAAGCTGTTGCCATCTGAGGGAATTTCGCTGGGATGAATTGAATTAAAATGAGCTGATCACTCAAGCCACATCCATCTTTCATGTCTTCAGCACCTGACAGCAACCTTTTTGCCTTCCCCTCTTAGACAGCCCCCCTTTTCCCATCTTCTCACCTGCTGCTGTATCGGGACTGGGCGTGATCACATGGAAGGGACTGGGCGTTCCTGGGCGATGAAAGCCAGTGGTCCAGGAGCCCCTAGTAGCGTCCTTGCTCCTAGTAGCTTCTTGTTACTAGCGATGCCAGGAGCCCCTAGTAGCGTTGTTGCTCGTGGTCCATGGAATCCACTATTTCGATGACGAACAAGTCCTGCCCGTGACGACAAAATGATGAAACACTCGACTTAGGTGGTGTAAAAGCTTGGAAAAGTTGTTTCAACGCATTGCACGATTAACAAGCAAGCACACATCGGCAACAATAACGTAGATGGCTCCTCCGGCAGGCAGCGTGAACAACATGATTGTGAAATCATTCTACGTTCTGCACACTCTCCCCCCTTGAACTGCTCCAAAGACTCCCAATTAGAGAAGAAATCTGAGTGACTATGGGTGACCGGTGTTTCAAACAATGTTCGTTCCAATGTTGGGAACCATGATGTCGCAGGTTGGGACCCAAGCCGTTTGGACGTCTTCTGGGGCCTAACCCCAAAGCGATACCATAGCGTACCTGCAGAATCTGCTCGTGATCGAGGAAGCTGCAAAGGACGCCTGATCCAAACGACAAAAACACATGACATGTGACAGAGGATCAAGCCTCCGTCTCCTCCATCACCATGCCGCACCGAATCTGCTGGTGGTGTGATTACTAAACAAGAGCTATTACTCGAATGGTTGCCTGAACCTGACAATTAACAAGAGCTATCTGTCAGGATCACAGTGTAGGATAACTCAAGAAGCTTTGTATTGTTGTGATCCCATCGTTTTCACGAAATCCGAACGAATCCGAACAAAGATGGAGTTTCACCTCCACGCCGCCACGCCTCACTTTCCGCGGTGAGGGTATTAAGGGCTCGGGACATAAGCGTCGCAAGGCCTGGGAAGGACATAGGCCCAGCCGGTGCAGGGACTGGTTTGCATGGAGATACAAGAAACGCTCTGAAATGCTTTTTGGCCTTTTTTGGCCCAAGGATCTCCTTGGTAAAACACCCCAGCCATTCAGTTTGCCACCCACATGGACTACCCAGCCAGCTGCCTGGTCCAACTCCGGGACCAAAACCGATCAGGGCATCTACGAGGCAATTACAGTAGCAATTGAATTGTTTAGGCGCTTATTCCAAAGCGGCAGAACACGTGTTATTGCAAGAAATCGATTTGGGCCGTCAACTTCCTGGCCACCCTCACTTCATGGCCAACCTCCAAGACCAAACCACTTCCGCAATACGAATGCACAAATTATTCTGCAATGCTTCAATCATGACATCCGGCTGGAAGTATGGCCAGCAATCCTTGAATCCCGATTTCATTCGCAACGAAGTCTTGGCAAAGCTTTTGTCTCCACCCAGTCCCTTCGCACATCTTCGCACCTGCAAGCGGGGGTCGGCCCAGCGCGGCTGCCAGTCGTTGGTCAAAATGCCGTAGGCCCTGCGTCGAGGCGTCGCCAAGTCCGTGGCGCACGAGTTCCGCGGTCCTTTTCCGTCTTTGGCCCTTCCCGGTGGTATTTGAGCTCACTTTTGGGGTCCAAAGGGATCCAAGTACCTTCTCGGCTTCAAAGTTTGCCTGGCACAATTTACAAACCACTTTGGATGATGATATTTTAAGTCACCTCAAACATGTGACGTGCTTTTTACAACATCCTGTGAAGACCTGCCAGAGTGAGAAGGACAACAAAAGGATGAAGATCCAAAGAAGTTACAGTTCCTGGATTGGTTACGTGCATGGCATGGCCCCCGAAAGCATGACCATTCTCATACTGTGCTACCATCGGTCACCGACCCGCAGAACTGTGCTACCATGTGTCACCTGGGTTTTTAGTTTGTCACTGAGTGTGCACTGAGTGTCTTCAGTTTGTACCTTCTCTGGGTTCGTCATGTCTCATGTAAGGTCTTTCACCGTATGCTGGCTTCTATCATTGGATGATCTAATCGAAAGTTTGGCCAAACTTATGCCGTATAATACCACTCTGGAAATCGTTCAACCGCTCAATGCAACACATTTGGCCCTTTGGTGATGTTAGATTTGCTTGGCCCTGTTACACAAAGTCTTTTTCAATCGAATCAGTTCAGCTGAAAATTAACACCAGTCCGACTTGCGGTCGATGTTTGCTACGTTGCCCCTTGCCCAGCCCCCCAGACTATCAAGAACGCCACTGGAATTTTTGGCATGTGTACTTGCCATGCAACGTTGTGCTTGATCAACACTTCGCAAGTGAAAGTCGGGAATCAGATCCGCGGGTGCGTCTGATAATGTCTCGTTCAACCTCCAGGTCCGTGCAAAGGGCCAAGTTAGCCGGCAAGGCTTGCCCTGGAAGATAGCTTTTGTAATCCTGGGATTATCTGGTCAACTTGTAAGTAATGTGGTGAACTTGCACCATCCACCCACATGTGGGTGGGAGCCAATCCCATGTGAGCGAGACTGTTGAAATTCACTTGTTTACAAGTGAAGAGTTAGGGAAGAAAGGACCCGTTGCATATTGTGACAGGTAGCGCGAGATAGCACGCAAAGCATCTGCCGGAGGGAGAAGCTTAACCATACTTGGTTGATGACCTGAACCCCCAAGAAATCATTAAAGATATCCAAATATATCTATAAATACAATAAACTGCAAAACTGTGACTCCCCAATCACTCCTCTATCTCCTCAGCTCTTTGAGAAGCACCGAGCGGCTCGTCGTCCGCACCGCTGCCGGGCTTGGGCCCCACATTGAGCGGCCAGTAAGCAAAGTCCACGTCCTTGCGCTCCTCGGTTGACAAGTCTTTTCCGGATCTGCAGAAGCGGGCAGTGTCTGGCAGTGTCTGGTGTTTGGAAGAGCATTGGATGTTCTGAATTGATGCTTTGCACGAAACAGGTGAATTGAGCAGTGGAGAGACTCGAACCCCATCTATCGAGGCAAACCACTCAATCGCAGTGACCATCTTATGCAACATGTTTATGCTGTGGAAATGCGTCACTCGGGCGCCACCTGTCCGCGTGCTAGTCTTCCAAGCTGCCATGCAACTGGAGGGATTAACACTCACTATACTTGCAGTTCTAAATGAGATACAGTGGCTACTTACATCATGACCTGCATACCTCTATGTTGATGATCTGCTGAGAGTTTCACCATCATTGCCAAGGCTCCAAATACTTGCAGACCTTTCCAAACCACTCGAGCTCGCTGTCAAGGGAGCAGCCCAGTTCGGACAGCCACACAGGGCAAAGGTCCTGTCAAACATTTCTGTGGGCTTCTACGATCTAAACAATTAGTGCCTTGTGGCAGCACCACCCAAAGGGTGGTTTAAAGAACCCCCCTGATCATGTGGCACGACCCTTGCATTTCCCGAAGTGCCATGGCACCCGTCGCGCGCCTCGTCAATGCAAAATCCGAAGTCTTGGTCCATCTGTGTTTCCAAAGCTGCCTGACCTGGGTCAAAGAAATACTGCCGATGGAGCACTGTAGTCACCAACACCTTGACTATCCTTGTCTTATCATTCTAGTTCACTTGGAAATCCATAGAACCTTCACTTGAGCTGCACGCTTCTCCAAGTGAGGAATCTCAACTTTTGCAGCTGCACGCTTCTTGCCAGCGCCCCCAAGGGCCCTCCGACGTGTGTTATCGGCCAAAAAATTACAATACCGTGACATAGCCCTCTTTCAAAAATTCACAACTCCTATTCAAATCCTATGCAACATTCTTCATTTCAAGTTTAATTATACCGTTCGTCGTAATATGAAGACCTCCCTTGCAAGTCCACCCTCTTTCCAATCGGGTCGAGGAACCCATCTCTCCATAGAGCGCTCGTGCGCCCACATAGTCCACCACGTCGAAGACGGACCGGAGGAGGCCTCGCCGGGTGGAGCGTCCCTTGGATCGAAGGACAAAGCGAAGCAACACGTGACGACATGTGACTCGACTGAGTCTATACTAGTAGCTTCTTGTTACTAGTAGCTTTTAGCAGCTTCTTGCTCCTAGTAGTACGGCCAGGAGCCCCTAGTGGTGTCCTGGCTCCTATGCTCTGTTGGAGGGTGGACTTGTGGAAGGTCTTGAGACTGATACAACGTCCCACTCTCAGCAGCACGAATCAAATCACAGCACGACAGCGTCCACAGAGAGCGCCTGGCATGAAATGCTTGGGGCTCCAAGCGCCAGGACCACTCCAGGCCTTCGCTGAGGTGGAAAACAACACCATGTGGATCACCATGTCACCTGTTGTCTTCCAGAAATCATGAAATATGGCATGGCCCCACCACTTCCACCCACTTCCTGAGGATTGCAGCTGAATCTGTCGGGAGTATAATCCTGTTACACTCCCTGGAATCATCATGGAAGTGGCAAACCATCTGTTTGGTGTTCGGAAAGCGGTCCTCCTTTCGGGGCCGTGCCATCGTAATCATGATTGTTCCAGAGAGTGACACAACATGGAACACAGTCCAACGGTGGGTTCCAGAAGGACGGTTTCTGTTGAGAACTGACGTGGTGCTTGATGTCAGAGGTTGAAATGGATTTGTGTCGCAGGAATTGAGTTGCAAAGGGAGAGATGAACTTATCTTCCAAGGGGCCCTCTGTGGAGTGGTGATGTTTTTACGGAGGGTAATGAGTAATTCAATATATCTTTTGCAAAACTGCATTGCGTCAAATTTCAGATATCCTGCAGGATGCGGCAAAGTTAGACTTCTTTGATGTTTGGATGGTGATCTGTGGTTATCAGGTAGTGCCAGGTTTGTTTCATCACTTAAACTCCTGGTGAGCTCATACTGAAGGGATTCCTTGGCCTGCTTGGATCCGTATGAGAAACCTCGCAAGGAAGCGGACATGACAATGGGTCAAGCAACGCAGAATCATATTATATAATTACTGCATATTCAATCGTGTTCATTATCCTCCAAACACATGGCTTTAACACGAGTGAAAACCAGGATTCTGAGAGTTACTCTTGTCAGCCGAATGCGGGTTGTGAAGACGAGGGTTCCAGCCCACAATTGTTTCCAAACATGGGCAATCTATCTGAAACGACAACGCGTTGACCATCCCGACAGCTCTCACGGCTCGTCTCATTGGCCTGAACTAGCTTGTGACCCTTTGCTGGCAAGAAGCATACATGTGCACGGACAGCACTATTCGATCTCCTTGGAATCATTACAGACATCGAAGCAGACTGCGGTTTCAATCCACCCAGTGGCCTCCTTGGGAAAACAATCGAATTAAGAGACTGGTAGTTCACAACCACGAAAAGAGCGGATAAAGAGCCAGGGTCCAAGAGACCGCCAACATTCCTCTGATCCTTCAACAAGCTTCCGCGTCGATTAATTCGTTCTCCTCCCAAGTTGAGGTTGTCATGGGTTCCAAGTTGATGCTTTCAGACTTGGAAGGTGCTAGAGCCTCCCAGGCGTTCTCCAGACTTAACACAAACAACAGAGAGGCTATCCTGGCTGCCAAGAAGCTGGGGACATTCCAGGCTTCCCAGGGTGGTTTTGGACTCAACATCTCCTCGAGCAGAGGGATGCCGCAGGATGTGAAAAGATGTGAAACGTGTCTACCAGATTGGCGAAGAAATCCTGATTTAGCACAACACCCACATCATTTTCTGGGAACACTGAGACGATCTCAATTGGCATCTTCAGTGCTGAGGGTGGTGCTCGCAGGCTATTCTGAGGCCATGCGATCCGTTCGATGACCTGAGCGGATCCAACCGTGCGGGTGGCACATCAGGTCTTCGGTTTGATGAGGGAGTTGCACATGGGCTGTGCTGTTTTTGTTTTACGTTAAACATGCATGCAGCATGCACACACACACACATATATATATAGTAACATATACACGTACGATATGTGCCCTTGTGCCAGGTTTGAAAACACGTGCACAAGTTTTGGTCGCCACCGTGGCCAAGGAAAACAAGAGAATTGGCCAGTGAACCGAGTTACCAGCAAGGAAACCCATGCTGAGTATCTACGGAAAGTATCTACGCAAACAAAACGGGCGCTAAATGGAAGTATGCAGCATTGTGGATAACGATTTGCTGATGTTAACCCTCGCAACAAACTCTTCCGAACTCGACTTTACTCGATGTATGCTGCAGCTGACATCTAGGGTCTGTTAGAAAATCATATAAAATCAATGAAGATCATTTGCCTCCCTTCACTGCCCAAACATCAAGGGTACACCATGGTACACCGGTGCACATCAACCGTCTTGGGCGATTAAGGTTAATTGGGACATCTTCCGAAGTTAACTCTCCCTAAACTAGAGGCAGTTAATCAATGGCTCTCGGTCTCAATGAGGGAAGCCAAAACTGACACTTGGCAGAAAAAACATTCCAAACCAATGTGCCCAGCACTCCCGTCAAAGCTGACTTCGAGAGACCAGCAAGCCCGGCGCTGCTGCATCCATCAACGCGCGGGCACCTCACTCACTAGTTTGATCATATCAAAAGAATGCACCTCACTTGTGCACCGACAAAATGTGGTGTTTGTTCTGGTTCCATTTGATGCTCTGACTGACACCATTGATGCCAAAGCAAGTGAAACAATCGGAATACTGCATAGTACATGAAAGACCTGTGCAAAACACCCTTAGAGCTCCCTTCCAGAACATACCAATTGCTGATTTGACTCCATTCTTGCAGCACTCTCGCCCAAGCCACAGCTACCAGCTGCGCGGCTCCAGTCGTAGGTGGCATCCGTCTTACCCCAGCGCGGGCTGGGGCCCATCATGCTTGTGGGCCGCACCTGCCGTCGAAATGACCCCCGGGTGTGGAAAGTTGAAATCACTCGTGATCCAGCCATTTCCAGTTGTGACCGTGAAGGTTACTATGCAAGTTTTGTGAGTCTATGAGTTGAAGCTCTAGATATCCAGGAGGTCGCCAATGTGGCCATTGTCAACCTTCGTTGTGGATGGATTCCCAACCATGGTGCACGGATCAACCGATCCTATGCCTGCATTGGCTCAAGGCCGAGCCATTCGTCGTTCGAACGCATGACATGAGTCAGCGAGAAAAGGTGCGATGTGTGTTTGGGTTCGGGTCATGTCCCATGTTCCCTTTCATGCTTCATGTTAGGTTCCCCACATGTTCCAATCTGGTTCAGAAATTCCGCATGGTAGCGGAGCACATGGTGCTCATAATTAATTCGATCCAGAACCTTTTGGGGAACCACAGCACTCACATCCGAACACGAGCTCGAGCCATGGGAGACGAATCTGTGAACGATGGAGGTGACCTTAGAGATCGTTCACCTCGAGGCCGAAGACGGCTTCGTTCTTTGCCTGCAGTGGTAGAAGCTCCTCATCCTAGTACATTACCACCAGCTGTTTCGTCTCGATTGGAAAGCCAGTTGAACAGTATGACACAGTCATTGGTTGGTATGAATAGCCAAATTGTGACACTTGCTGGAATGGTTCAACAGCAACAAGAAGTTATGAAACAAGCGCAAACAGCGTTCCAGACTCAGCAGGTTCAATTGGATTCTTTGCGTGCTCAAGCCACACAGCTGCCGATTACACCTCGAAAGCCTCGTGACAGTCCATTCAATTTGGACAGCAAACCAATGCCTTCGAAGCCGACGCCTAACGGAGGTTTGTCTTCGCCATTCGAAGCCGCTGCACAGACCACCTCAGGTCAGCAAGCCGCATCCATTGGTGTTGCAAAGTTGGTTTTGCCCGATGGGACTTCCATACCATTAGGCTCATCAGGTGCCGCTCCAGCTGGTACTCAAGTGCCAAGTTCGTCATCTGGAAGCGGATCGCAGAGTTTTCAGCTTGACGCACTGCAAAGGTCGGACAAGTGGTTGCCATCGATGCCAACGATCAACACGTCTTCATGGAAGACCAGGACAGATGAGATTCTGGGGTATGAGAATTTCCTGGAGTCACTGACATCGTGGCTGGGCTTGGTGTCGGAAAAGTTCAGTCAAGAAGTCAGATTTGCAGCCACCTCGAAAACGATGATTGAACCCAACATGCTGACAGAAGAACAGAAATCAAGGGGCCTTCGCCTTTTGAATATCCTTCGCCAGGTCTTTCGAGACGTGCCCAAGGCTCGCATCATTTTGATGGCCTACAGCGAGTCCTATGGCGAGAAGAACGGGTTTGAGGCCTTGAGATTAGTCACGATTGAGTACATGGTCAGGTCAAGGCAAGAGATCATGCACTTTAGAAACAACCTGTTGTCAAGGGTATTCAAGTCCGGCAGTGTTACAGAGTTGGTCAAACAGATGGAGTTTGAGGAGTCCAGGTATGAGAAACTGTTGAACATGCTTCCAAGTGGTATATCCAAAAGTGGCCTTGAAATCCAGGACACAGACCTCAGCATGTTGTTCCTTCGCTCACTTCCTCAGCAGGTGCGTGAGTTTGTGACCATCCATGGTGCATCTGATGCCTACATCGATTTGAAACAGTCAGCACTTCGTCATGAGAGCAGTCAGCGACTCTGGATGGAAATAGGAGGCAGCACAGCATCTCAGTACCTGAATCAAGGTGTCTTCGACAAGAAAGGCAAAGGTAAAGGAAAGGGCAAAGAAAAGGGTAAGCATCGCTCAGATTCGACCTCTCCAAACAAGGCTGATGATCGCAGCGAGAAGGAGAAGCAATCAACCTGCTTTCGTTGTGGGAGAAAAGGGCACTTTCAATCCAACTGCCGAGCAAAGACCGACAAAGAAGGTAAGGCTTTGGCAGCAGCTCCTGATTCCAAAGGATCTCATCAGGATCCAAAAGGCTCAAAGAAAGGTGGAAAGGGGAAAGGAAAAGATGGGCCGCCCAAGAAGGGCAAAGGAAAGGGCAAAGGCAAGATTGCCGAGTTCATCTCAGAGGCCGAGGGACAGCCAGAGAGCGAAATGTCGCCTGCTGCGAAAGCTGCCGCAACCCCGCCTTTGAATGTGCCGCTCACGCCTTTTGTCGCTTCCAGCACCATGCCATCGTCATGTTACCGGACCATGTTGGATTTTGAGCGTGAAACCAGCCTCAATTGTGACCAGAGCAGTGATTGGTTTGAGGACTGGGATCTTGAAAACTCAAAGAAGTATGCGAGTGAACAAACTCGTAACTATTTGGATCCAGGTAACCTAGTTTCCCTTCCACTTGCAAGTTTTTGTGATGTTCATCAAGATCAAAGCCAAGAGGCTATATGTTTAAATGATATTAATCTTGATCGACAAGTTTTGATGCCTTTGTTTATGCCAGTTAGTTGTCCATCAGACACAAAGACAAGTGACAACCTATGGTGGTTGATCGACTCAGGAGCCAGTGCCTCTGTTGTGAGCAGCCGTTTCATTTCTGACTATAGGGTTATCAAAGAAAGGACTTTGGAACCTCTCAGCGACGGATTCTCGTCGGCTAGTGGCGAAACAATCCATCCCAGCAAGTTGGTTTGTATCGCAACATCGTTCCATATGATTTCGCTTGTGGATCCCAAGGTTTCATGTTGGAAGGTGTGCAGAATTTTAGCATTTGTGGCCGATGTTCCCAACAATGTTCTCAGTGTTGGTAGTTTGTTGACTAGGGGATGGAAGCTTTCAAACAATGGTTCTGAAATGGTAGTCTCTTTTGATGACTTCCGATTGGATGTTGTGACATGGATGAATGTCCTTGGGATCCTCCATTACAAAGATGGAGATCGAGAAGATTCACATCATCAAGCCAGTGGAAGCTCGACGGCTTGCGATTTGCCGAAGACAACTTGGAGCAATCGACCATCCGCTGGAAAACACGTTTCGTTTGCCGAAACCGCATCTGATTCGAAAGCCAAGAAGCATCCTCTTTTGATGGCCAGCAAGAGAAAGGCAGAGGTTGATTTAGGTGATAGTGAAGCCGCTGATCCCTCAAGGTCAGAAGAAGCGGAAGTTGTTTTCATGCCGCGTCATCAGCCGATTTCATCTCAAGCAGCCGAACCCGCGGCTGTGGAACCGAACCGTTTTGTCCGCGTCTCAGAAGCTGCCGAGCAGCACACTGGTTCCAGCAGTTCGGTCGGTCCATCCCAATATGAGCCCAATCCATTTCGGAGCAGTCAGGAGTTGGTCCCATTCCCAAATCCAGAGTCCCATGAACCATCTCATGCAGTCCCATCAGGTCTGCCCAATGCCGATCCGTCAAGTTCTCAGCCGAAATCTGTCGAAGTCGTGAGTGCCGAAGCTGAAACAGAGCATCCATCAGTCTTGAAAAAGAAGAATCGGGACAAGCTGTCCTTGGATGAGCACCGCCGCCAAGGCCATTTTCCATTTCATCCAGATTGCCTCGCATGTGTGTCAGCCAAGTCGACGCACCAGCATCGTCGTCGGGTTAATAAGAACTCTAGCGAGATCTGTGCCGATTTCTTTTTCTTGAGGAATGTCCCACCAAATTCAAAAGAGCAATGGAAATTTTTGATCATGGTCGATGTTCATACGGGTATGAAAGCATGTGTTCCAGTTTTGCCCAATGTCATCAACACTCGAACATGGATCAAGAGTTGGATGAATGAATTTGGTTTCTCAGGTGGTGAGTCCCGGTATGCGTATGCCCTGGAAGTGCTTACCGATGCCGAAGCGAGTGTCGCATCCTTGTTTAAGGAGTTGATCTTGGACGTGACATTGTGTTCTTCAAAGCCTCACCACAAAGCCACCAGACAGTGGGACACGCCGAGGGAGCTATTCGTATCCTCAAGGATAGCTTTGCCGCACTCCGTCAAGATCTAAGGTCGTTTGGGGTCGATCTCAAGCTCGATAGTAGATCATGTCTGAACACCGTGTTGGCATACATTTGTATGTGCTACAACTTGCATTCGAGCTTCAAAGACACTAAGAGATCCCCAAAGACAATTTTGATCGGTCGTGACGTCGAAATGCAAACCAGTCTTTTCGGATCGTTGGTTCTTGCAGAAATCCCTCATAGCTTGGTAAACAAAGCAGTTTCCAGGTTTGAGAAATCATGTTATTTGAGGCCAGAGTTTGCTTCATTGGGACATCTCTGTGTTACTGTTCTCAACGGCGAAGAATGCATTTTCATCTCAAAGTCCATCAAGTTCCTCACACCTTTAAGTTGGGATTGTAGCTTGGCTCCTTCATTTCTTGTTGAGATTTCACTACCACCAAAGCCGTCAAGGGAAAATGGGGGGAGAAGCGCAACCGATTGATCTTGAGGCCGATCCATCTCGCGATGCACAACCTTCTCAAGCCAAGAGCAGGTCCATTTCAACCGGTGCCGAACGTCGTTCCGAGCCATCCATAGTTCATAAGAGCACTGAGTTCGATCAGATTAAGAATGTACCTGCCAGCTTCATCAATAAGTTTGGTAAGACTAAAGGTTGTGGCATTTGCGCCAACAGCAAAGGTTCCTTTCATGGCAAGGTGCATCACAAGGTATGCATTGATCGGTACGTCAAGTGGTTGAAGGAACAGGAGTTGAAAGGCATTCGTGATTTGCCATCCGCACAAGTGCAGCCAGTCGGTAGGACTTCAGATGCCGAGCATCCTGTTCGACTTACTGGCAAGCAGCCAAGACCTGATTCACTTCCAGAGCCACCGATTCCAGTTGCAACTCGTTTTGGACCTCCGTCTCGGTCCAAAGATCATGAAATGTTGGTTGAAGGGGGTGAAGGGGGTCATAATCAGGAGACTAAGTCAAACGAAGATTCTACCAAACCCGATTTTGTAATCCGTAAGGACGAAGATCTTCTTGGTATGGAGGAATATACGCCAAGTTGGTTGGAGGGTTCGTCAAGTCCACGCGATGATTTCCACATTCCTGAGGTGCCTGAGTC